ATAATTTTTTGCCATAAAAAACTTAACATATGGAACTTTATTTTACTTTTTACAGATTTGATCTAGCTCGTTTAGTTTAGGAGATAATCGATTTTTCTAGGCGCGGATACTTTTTGAAAGGCTGGATAATTCCCTATCCCATAGACGGCGATAACTTGTATTTTCGTAAATGTTTCTAATAAAAAATACTTTAAGAAAATCAAAATAGTCAAAAAAATAACTTTTGCAATATTTGATTATGGTCAATTTGACGTTCAACTCATTATAAATTATACCATACATAGTCTAACGGAAAACAATATATAACTTACGAGTTAGTTATAGTCAATATAGGACTGCTTTCCGTAGCGGTTATGAAACACAGTTAATAAAATTAATACAGTATATTATTTTAAAATACTTTTATTTATAATACACCACATTTACTTTTATAATAGTGCACAACAATATTGTGTCGACACGTTTTAAACATTTAAAATTGTATTGTTTATTAGATATGTTGTCATATAATAATATGAGCTCAATATACTAGATATATAATAATAACTATAGCTCATATATTATTCAACCAAAGCTAACTCCATCGAAAGCATCTTTGGGTTCTACGTCTAAAACGTGTCCGTAATTCTGTATGCGTTTGTATCCCATATCAGGCGCTCTGTCGACGTATGAGTGGTCGTCCGCGCCGTACGGGTAGTCCATGGAGTGCGCCGATTGACCATAACTAACGTCCGGTCCCAGAATGTACGGTGATGGCGCTCCTACCACATTACTGGTAATGATGGTAATAGTTAGCAAGTATAACACTAGGTTACCCAAAGACATCTTGCTTGAATAGATTTTGTTGCGTATAGTGTAATGAATGTACTACTCGTTTAAATATGGGGTTAATGTTAACATATGGTTATTTTATTTAATATTAGTATTATTAATTATCAACATTTATTAAAGGTATTATAGATAGCGTTGCCAAAATTTTTTTTGAAAATAATGTATAATTGTTATAATAAAAACAATAATAATTGAGTATGCTTTATTTCAAGATTTATTATCTTAAAATCACCTGGCACTACTCAACTAATAATCTTTTAATTAAAAAATTGTTTTTTTACATATTTATTAATTAATTATTGTATTATGCATTGTATAGTGAAATGGTCTTTATAACTTTTGCATTTTAAAAATTTTTATAATAGTGTAAATAATTAATCATATACATTATGTAAATAATCGTGCAAAATAATAAATTGTAAAATTTTTATTTTTAATAAAGTAAATACTGTAATATTCCACTTTTAATTACAATTAAATATTTGTTTTTTGATCATGTTAAATAATTAATAAAATATGTTTTAATTTTATATAAAATTAAACTCAGAAAATAAGTAACATGTTCGAATAATTAAATTTTTATTTTGTTTGATGTGATACTAAAATATTTATTATAATTAACATTAGAACTTATATGCCGACTGTTGAGTAAAACAATTACTAATAACTTTATATAACATATTTAAATAATAAATTAAAAACAAATGTTATTATGCAATAAATAATTATTTAATAACATTAATGTTTAACGGGTATTCAATAACATTATATTTGTATATACATTCATATGTTATTCATATTGTTGCCAATATTACATTGATATAATCTAATCGCATAATTAATAAACCCTATTATAACATAAACAATAAATATCATTTTATATTAAATAGTAATGCAATTATTTATACAACTGTTGGCTTCAAAACTATTTTATAACTGATAACAGTGTCATAATATTCAACACAAATAAAACATCAACGTTAACTTTATGTAACATTTGCTGCGATGTAAATTATATAACCATTTATTATATGGTAAGTGTGTTTGTGTATAGTGTACGAAAAATAGTTATCCCAAAAAACAGCGTAATGTCTGCACTATTAGACAACTTCACAATATGTGACTCAATCTCAGCGACAGACAAACAAAACATCAAATTGTGCCACATTTTCAACGACTGCTCGAAAGGTAAAGATGTGCTGTTCGTCACCGGCGAGGATCAGGTCTATGCGTTGGGCACAAACACCATGGGTTGCCTCGGCTTAGGCCATAACCTCCCGGTCCCCACACCTCAACTCATACACTAGTTATGCAAACAAAACGTGCAATACTTTGCCAACGGATCCGGTTTTGCGATGGCTGTGACCGGCGATCACCGGCTGTACAGTTGGGGCGACAATACGTGGGGACAGTTGGGTCGGTGCGGGTCAGTACCGCCGCCCGACTCCAACCACAAGTGCCTAACACCTGATAAAATAACATACAGTGACAGCAACCGGGATATGACTGTCAGACAAATAGCCTGCGGTTATAACTATTGTCTGGCGCTCACCACTAGTGGCCGGGTAAACGGCTGGGGGTATAACGGGAGCGGACAAGTGGGCTGTGGAGGCCGCCCCAGTAATAACCAGATCATATGTCGACCCCAGAAATTGTCTTTCAGTAATGCCTACAAAATAACAGCCATTTATTGCCACTATTTCTCCTCATTTGCCGTCACATCCGATGGACAGGTGTTTAGTTGGGGTACGAATAGTGACCATCAGTTGGGACACGACTGTCCAGACGTGTGCGTACCTGAACCCAGGCTGGTGTCGGGACAGAACATGGTTAAAATTGTGACAATTTCAAAGACACGTAGGGTTACATACTTTCATTCATCAGAAGGTTGTGTGTATTTTTGTGGGAAATTTCAACAAAATAATACTCTAGTGACTGAAATTGTGCCCCGAAAATTGCAACTAGGTGATAATTATTGTGATAAATTAGCTACATTTAATTCATTGATTAATTTTTATGATTTTGTTCCCGTTTTGATTGACAATAAAGTGTATAAACTGTTGATTTCAAGTAGTGATGTGTTGTGTGAAACAAATTATAACAATTTTGTTGATTTTTACGCAAATGAATGTCAAATAACTTATAATACATTAAATTTAATAACTATTAATGAAAATATTTTAAATAAAAATAACGAAATGGACACTGAATTTAAATCTTGTGATAGTTTGTCATCATTTAATAGTGAGTTTTAATTAATCATTATATTTTATTTAATATCTAATAATTAATTAAATGTTATTTTGTTTATAATCAGGCAATAGATCTGAAATAAAACCTGTATTAAAGGGAAATGACTCCGGATTTATTGGTTTGTATTTATGTTAATTACAATTAAAAGTTACTTTTTATTAAAACAAACTTAAAGTAAAACTAAAAGTTATAATAAAACTTTCATTTAAAAGATTTACAATTACAATAATAAAACAATTATATTTTACAGCAGATATGAGAACGACTTTAGCCGACAATAACGTATTAAACTCGATAGAAAACAACTGTAAGTTGTAATAAAACATCCAGATTAAACACTAAATAATCTTGATCACTAAAAATAAATTTACCACAATGGCACAGCCGGTTGGCTGGACAGCTACGTTATGGACGATCCTTACCTGATTATAAACAGTAAACTCCGGGCACTTCAGAGGCAAAAAGAAAAACAACGGCAGACAAATCTCGAGGCCCAGCACCGGCACCGGGAGGTGGAGACCCGGCCACCTGATCTACAGCCAGATCAGTCAGAGCACCGGTGGGCCATCACTGATAGGCACGATGTATTGGCCTTTTTGAACAGCCAGGAGTCGCCGCCATCCGATGTTAGAGCCCGTGTGCCGGCGCCCGACCAAAAACGTAATCCTATGCGAGATGTCTATCGGTTTATTGCCCGGCGAATGGTCAGCAACAGTCGATGTACTGCCACACCCACCGATCCACTCCTGGCTGACGATTGCATAGGTATGGATCAAATTACAATATAAAAGTGCATTAATTATCGTATATAATTATGTACGTCGGCAGCAGACTGGCCAGCCAACCTAGATGATGAGCACCCGGTGGAAAATATAACAGATGAATGGCAGCCGAACTCAATCAAGAACGCTAAACCTGATGGTCATTCACCAGAACAACTCACTTACACTACTTTATGTAAAATACCAACTTATGATAGATCTGAAAACACCATAAGCTGCTGGTGGGGACCCGTGAGCCAATGTCCACCGGATCTGCGGGCACTGACAGACCAGATGAGCGACGGGGCTGTCGCCGGAGACGGTATGGCCCGATCCCACACAGCAATGTATAAACTACTGGTGCGAGAGTGGCGACGGGCGGCCGGGACCGGGATGTGCCGCAGGGAATATTTATACCACACATTGGACACCCTGTTAGCCAAAGGCGCTACAGTAATCCATTGTACTGAGCACCGGGTTCGGTGCAAACCCAGGGTGAACATCGTGGTCTTTGAAGCGTATGTGCCGACCCTAAAACGGTTTATAGCAGCTATTTGTGGGGCTAATAAAACGATGTCGGTTGGGGTTCAGGTGGAACTGTTAACTGCGTTAGAATGGCTTATATACCTGCAATGCCAGTACAGGCCGGCTGTGGCCGATGTGATGGACTCACTGTTCCGTAAGGGTGTGGCGGAGGCCGCGGCCTTTGCCGAGTGGTCACTGGCTGACAGCCCCCGACCCAAAGACAAGGGATTATTAATTGGTGAAATTAAGGCTGCTGGTTTTAATCTAGTTAAACGGTCGCTGTCAATTTAATTGGTATTTAACATGATTCATTTTGTTTAAAACACTACTCCTCTCTGTTTATTTAAAAACTAATCATTATTTATGAATCATAAATTATGATCAATTTGATTAAACTCATCAATACGATTTAAAAGGCACAGCATACTTACATAATGTTAGCTACATTGTTTACCATTTAATGATAATTAATAAACATATTATTAATAAATTTGTTAACAAAAAAGCTACAATTTGTTCGCGCAGATCATTGGTTCACACAATAAATGTTTTTGAACATTATGTTTATACGAATTATATTTTTAGATATGGTTTGCATCTAGGGTGACCACCTGTCCTCTATTACAGAGGATTGTCCTCTATTTGGACTCTTGTCCTTTGTACTTTTAAGATGTAATAGTGGACAATTAAATGTTATCTTTTTTAATTTCCCAATAAAATGTTATATTTTAATAAAATTTCCTGAAATGTTATATAAATTTACAATTTATTAGTAAAATACTTAATGTTTTGAAGTGATTGTTTAATATCTGATATTTAATGTTTGGATAATAGACTGATGCCTTATTATAATAGAGGACATCTATTTAATGTATGTTTTAAAGTTCATCTTTATTGTAACTTATTAAGATATACTTTTATGTTTAGTTTCAAATCATAATTAACAAAATTATATTTATTTAATTGATTGCACTGTTTTTGCTTACTTTGTCTTAATTTATTTATTACTGTAAAATATTTATAGGACAGTTTAGAAACACATTATTTTAACGTATTTTTTTTATCAGATAGTTATGTTAATCTGTTATAAAACTTTTAATACATTTACAAGTCAATATAGTCCATTACACTAGAAAATTATTGTATTTTATAAATTTAATTCACATAACTACAATTATAAAATATAAGAAATATATACTTATTATTGATAGAATTTTTAATTTAAATGAAAAATGAGACTAAAATACGTGTCCTCTATTTATCCTTTATAATTACTGTAAATTTAGTCAAAAATCCTCTTTTCCTAGAACTAGAGGTGATCAATCTATTTGCATCACACAAACATGGTTCACCCAAATCATGTTTCACAGTACAATATTTCCGTAAATTGTAATTCGTTTTACAGTTAAACTTTCTTGTAATAAATTTTTAAAAGTCCAGTAGTATTATATAATAAAACCAATTAAAACTCATTTATTAGTTTACTTAATAAATAGTTTAGATACGTCTCTCGTATCGCATCGCTGTGTGATCCATGTTTTTACTTAATAGATAGTCTTGTTAAAATCCTTAATATACTGTACTGTATTGACATATTGTTTAAATGTATATTTAATTTTAACGGACATATAAATGAATGAATTTAATATTAAATACTGTATTAATTATGTATGCATTAAAAACCTCGTTAAATAAAAGTTACATTAAATTTTATAAAACAGAATTTGTAATAAAGAAAAATACAAGAATTTATTGCAAAATTTTTCAAATGTATACAGGATTTTGAAAATATCATTTGACAATGCTAGGCGAAATAGACCTTACATTCATATTATTAGAAATAATACCACAAATATGTGATGAAAACATACAATATCATCAAACAAATCTCTTTTACTATTAGAAGGTATAGTTTTGGTAACTGCCCTCACCCCTACGTTATAGTAAATAATGGGATAAGTCTAAACTACTTATTCATTCATGAAATGTAACACATAGTAAAACAATAGTAACACTTATTTAGTGTTTTTAGTAATAACTCACGAGTTGTCATTTGTGCTAGTAATGCACTATTAATTAACATTATTATAAAATAAATAAATTATTATATTTACACAATAATGACGCCGAAAAGTTATACACTTTTTCTCACTGCAATACACCGTAAGTGTGAACTGCATTGACAGCCACTATAATCTCAGCACTCAAATGCTGTGAAAAATAAATTACAAAACAAAAGGTAAAAACTGTAACAAAAAGTTTGTTTTATGTTTGCAGTAAACAATTGTAATAAATGTTTTTAAAAAATAAAATTATGTTTTTAATTAATTAATTACTGGTGTTGTTTTAAAATCGTTTGTGTGCTGAGGTTATAGTGTATGTCAATACAATCCTTATAGTTTTACACAAATAATTTTTAATACAATAACAATTATTAGGAATTGCATGAAATGCGTTAGCATTACATTATTGTTACCAATGGTTTTCACTGATTATCTCAACTACCTAAAAGAATTTAAACAACATATTTACAACCGATATAATTATTAAATATTATTTTTATTTTAATAATAATTTTTTGATTAATAAATTATTTAGTTAAATAGTTAAATTGTCTATAAATTATAATGTTTTGAGTTTTAAGCAATATATTGATTGTTAGCAAGAATACAATTATTAATATAAAATGATTGTGAAAATCGATTACTATTATAATTAAGAATTTTTTTTAACATTTCCATAAATATTTAACATAAATACCCAAATTAGGTAAGATATTTTTTTAAAATTATAATATAAAATATTTCATTATAAAAATAATATATCTGTAGGGATAAAATACAGTGAAAGTGATATATTATACAATGGCTTCCAATCAATCAAACACAAGTGAACATTCAAAACAGATTTCATCAGGTGATAAATAAAGCATGTCCATTTTTTTGAATATAATTTTATTTTGAAACATAATTATATTTACTAACCATCTTTACAGTTTGTAACAACAAATCAAACAAAACTTTTTTTGAAACTATTTTTGAAGAATTGGTGCCGATAGGGAGGGGAGGGTTCGGTGAAGTATTCAAAGTAAGGCATATACTAGAACAGGAGATGTATGCTGTTAAAATAATAAAGCTCCTTGGTAAGTTAAGTAATATATAAAGTAATATAAAGTAATGTATATGCTTAATTTACTTAAAGTAATTACTTAGATAATACTTAATTAATATATACTTTACTTTACATGTACTGTATTTTTGCTATATTTACTTTTATGTTATTTACTTCACCTAATACTGTAATATTGTGATGTACTTTACATAAAAATTTACTGCATATTACGTATATAACAGACACTTATAATAATAATAAACGACAGGAAATACTAAAAGAGGTCCAAAAGTTATTGAAACTGCGGTCAGAATATGTTGTAAATTACCGCAATTCATGGGTAGAAAACAATCATCTGTACATTCAAATGGATTATTACTTTCAAAATCTACAGACAATTATCGACACGAAAGCCATTGTCTTTGAGAGACAACCGGAAGACCCGATGGATTGCATCGAGTATTTCATTTGCAGTGAAATATTCAAAGAGCTCTTAGAGAGTGTACAGTATTTACACGACTCGTGTCCATCAGTTATCCATCGGGATCTCAAACCGGCAAATGTGTTGATCTCACAAAATAATAACAATAATAGGTTTCTAAAACTTTGTGACTTTGGTTCGGCCACTTTCCACGACATGACATCCATGAGTCACACCTATAATGTGGGCACTTCACAATATATGGCACCCGAAGTGTATCAACGCCGGTATACCATTAAGGTTGACATATATAGTCTGGGAGTGATTGCGTTTCATTTGTTTGATTTATATAATATGTAAGTCAAATATTATAAAAATTAATTATATTTACTCAGTTAATATTATTTTATTTATTTTTGTTAGTGAAACCCCGATTGAAAAATACAGTAATACCTGTTTTTCAAACAATTTTAATAAATTATTTGAAACAATCGGACAAATGTCTCTATCCATGGCATCCAATCGGCCCACAAGTGGTCGAGTGCTCGAGAACTACGACTAGTGTTGCCAACTCTTATCGACCTCCGCCTTGTAAAATCCAAAATTTTTCTAAATTCACCTTGACCAAACCTTGACCACTATTATTATTGCATATTTGATTACAAATATTTTTGAAATATTAGCAAAATGTAAATTTAGATTTTAATTTAATTTAGTTTTATTA